TTTTTTTTTTTTTTATCAGCCCACCTCCATTTAAGAGAAAAAACCTCACTCTGGAGTGTGTGGAGTGAAGAGGGATTTTAGTTGGTGAGGGGGATTAAGGTGGTGCAGGGTGCAGGTAAAGAACCTCTGCTAAAGTCTGCACACTACTTAAGTGGAATGTGAACATTTCACATGCTTGAAAAGGAAAGAGAGAGAATCAAAGAGCAGAGGAAGAATACAGAGAGCAAACGGAAAGTTACAGTCTGTCACAAAAAAAAAAAAAGACATTTAAACATTCAGAAAATTGCGCCCGCTTTTCCCAACTTTGTTAAGCGGAAAGCTGGGAGCCTCTGCTCCTTATGACCCTTGAGCTCCTTAAACGCTGTAAGAAGGGACTCTCTCTCACACACCACACACACCACACACACACACACACACACACACCAGTACAAATCTAGTGTTGTTTCAGCCAGACACAAACCATCACGAAGCAGAGCGCTCCATCTTTTGTCACATTTTCTGTTATCTCTGCTGTCTTTTTCCTCAACTTTTGAACATTCGGACTCTTCATGTCACAAGGCTGCATTCCCAATACGATAGGTACAAGACTGGCAATGTTTTTCACTGCAGTCATTTTCCCTCCTCACTGCAGGAAGAGCACCGGTGTGGCGCATAATGTTAATGATAGCTGCAATCCATTCAGGTGTAGAAGTGAACAAGTAAGCAAAAAATGGAGCACAGCCGTTAGACGCTTCTTAAGTCCCACCCCCTTTTGGGACCAGGGTTAACGTTCTCCTTTCCTGTACTTACATATGTTTTGTGCTAGGCTGCTCTCTGCTGAAAAGACAACCAACAATGTTGATCTGACTTTTGTAGTGTGCCAATCTCGACAGTGTACACTACATACGTTGCTGGTTAGCCCTCTGCTTCTTTCTTTCACCTGTTATGGCGGAGAAACTTACACCATTCCTGTTATTACATGGACTACGATGACCCTTCATCACGCTGCAGACACTGACCTCTGACCTCTGTAGGTGCTGTGGTGATGCTAGTCGTGTGGGAGGCGGCTGAGGACTCGATGCCGCTGCAGCTCTCGGCGACCCTCTGGCCTGCACACATCGCCTTCAGGGTCTGGAAGACCGCTTGAGGCGCCACGTTCATCTTTAACAGGTCCACTATGATCCTGGGAGGGCGAGAAGAGGAAGAGGAAGAGGCAGAACGTAAAATCAGGGATTGCTCCTGTTTATTACTTCATATGAGTGGAAGAAGTGTTAAATAAAAGTACCAATACAACACTGTATATAGTGTATGTAACAAGTACTCCACTGCAATTAGGCGAAAAAAGGCCTGAATAAAAATCCTATTTAAGTAAAAGTAAAGAAGCTAAATCTACTTAAAGTATCCAAAGTTTATTAAATAATTGTACCTTTTTGAGG